TTTCCTTTAAAATTGATCCATATAATCCGCTTAAAATTTTAATTAACTCTAATTAACTCACTCTGTGTGAATTTTTTTTTTTTTCTTTTTTCTTGCGCTCTCTTATATTTATTCATAATTTTTATAGTACTTTTTTTATTTTTATTATATTCAGTTTTTGTTTATTTCATTAGATTAAACTAATTGACAGTTAATCAACTCTCATCCCCTATCCTATCTTTATTCTTTCTTCTTCTTTCTTTTTTTTTTTTTGTTGTTTTTTTTTTCGGGAGACATTGCATGTCTGCTTTAGTTTTATATGTATATTTTTATGAGTTTTATGATTAAAACTCAACCAGACTTCAATGCTGCTCGTCTGCTGAAGCTTAACGTTGTTGATCTATCAGCACATCACCCTTAACATCAAAAGTCAATAGGCTACAATGTTATGTCATGAAATATTTGTTGTTGTTGCTGTTGTTATTTTTCTTATTTAATGTACTTTATACTCTGCCCAGTTTTGAGTAACTCCCCATGAGAGTGTTTTTCATTTCTACATACAACTTGTTTTTTTTTTTTTTTTTTTTTTTCATATGTAGATATTTATGTATATTTTAAATGATGGTAGCGCACGGTCATCACATATCGCTGTTCTGTAGCGTTCAGCCAGCCTTCATTACCGGGGCCTCACTGCGATGTGATGTGTTTTGTAAATTGACATTTAACATTAATCATAATTAAGCTTTAGAGAGCAAACTCGAAACTAAGATGCAAGTATTAATCTTTTTTGATCAACGTATGTAATAAAGATTTTTTTTTATAAAATTTTTTGAAAAAAAAAAAAGGCTGCCTATAAAGGACTAAAAGTTTAAAAAAATAATATATATATATGTATGTATATATATATATATATATACCGGAAATATTCTTTAATTTAAAAACTAAATTGAGAAGAACACGAACTAGTTGCATTGTTGAAAGAATCTTTTTGGAAGCTTCCACAAAAGAACATACAAACAATTTTCATTTAAAATATTACTCATAACGCTACCAATGTATTTGTGTACAAGTATTTTTTTTTTTTTTTTTTCTTTCATGGATGTAGTGACAGCGCACTGACGACTAAACTGCTGGACGTGCCGCAATTGGTCCTTGATTCGTTCTATATAGTTTTACATCGCCCATCCCTGAATCTCTTTGGAATTCGGATGTCGCCTTCACCTGGCTTTATTTAGGAGTATGCCGTTGAAAAAACTGGAGCACATTCTCCAACTTTCGCTATCTCTCAGCGCAATTGCTAATATATTGTACGGTGTAATTTTGATCTCTAGGCACGTGGAAAGCGTATTTCCTAAAGCCGTCCACGCAGGACAAACGAATACCTTGACCTTTGCATTATTGTCTAGGCGTTCACATTAATCGCACGCGTTGTCTCGCCAAGTTTCCCGTCTCCGTAGAAAAAACTCACCCATTATTCTGCATTTGCTATCCGCTATGTAGGCAGGTTTCCTCGTCTTTCGGGTCATTTCTCCATCGTTCTTGCCATTCCATTAACATTCTTTGTCGGGTAGCAATTTTTATTCTGTGCAGACAGCGTCTGTAGATTTTCTGCTCGATGGGTAATAATCCTACCAATATCAATGAAAATGCACAGTAAGCTGATATCATTATCAATGCGCATAGCTATTGAATTGCTTCTAGCTTGCGTAGGAGATGTTTACTTTGTAATATTTTCCCTGACATAATGGGTGCGGCATATATATTTTGCACATAAGCTAGGCAGCATATAAATTTTTGCCTCGCCTGCTTACGTCCGTTCACGCCCTTCTGTCCGTCACCAGTATAACTTAGTTTTTTCACGCTGCACGTTCTAATTTGGATTTATTCGCTTATTCGGCCTGCGCTATCTTTTGCGATGATCTCTATTGGTGGAATCAACACTTGATGTACAATCAGTCGCTTATTCGCTTCGCTTATTTAAGCTCTTTATAATGGCCAGTCCTGCCAGTCGTGCTGCTGTCGATTGTGATGTGAGTGAAGAATCCTTTGGCAACCTTACACTTTCATGTTGCAGTGACCATTTCCTCGATAGCATCAACAACGGATTGTCGTTTGATAAAGCCAAAGTGGAGCTTAGAATAGCCGCATCGACTCTTCAGCTCCGTTTTTCCTATCTAGATAGCATCAATCTCTCTAAGAGTTTGGCTACATTTTCCAAGACATAGGTAAATCGATAAGGCGATAGGGTCTTTCCCAGAATGCGGGACAAGTGCTAAGCTTAAGGCACAAATTGTACATATCTATTACTAAATCCGGCCAGACGTCACCAACCAGATGTTTTATTTCTTTTGGTATTCCCCAGGTCCCCGGCACTTTGTCCCTTTTCAAGGTTGGACATGTTGCCCACATTTATTCCTATGGGCTTTGGGCGTATCTTCTGCCCAGACTCTTGCTATGTGTGTATGTATGTATTCGTGTATGCAAGTACGTATATATATATTCGGGCACGCGCGTATATGCATATGTGTATTGATTATTTCTTTTAGCACTTAGTACTAATTACTTATAACTTTTATATGTTAAGTGTTGAGGTCTCGATGTGCCCTTACGATAATACTTAAAAATTGCAATAAAATCACGATAAAATAATACGTAAATTAAGGCAAACGTCAGGAAAGCTTGTTAAAAAAATTTACTTATTATTACTGAACTCTAATTGATTAACGTTTTCAGAGCTGGATATTTTGCACTTTATAGTATAAGTCAAAGCTGGTTTACTAATTTTTTGCAGGTGCGTGTGCTAATCTACATACAATACAAACATATATATATATGCATATATACACAAACACATGCAATATGTTTGATCTTTGAGGTTAACAGCCGTAATCGGACGTTGTGCTCGATGACTAGCAGTAAGGGAAAACAAAGTGTTCCAAGTGTTATAGGTTTTGTGAATTTTCATCAATATATATATATTTCAGAGCAATTGCCTCAATAGAACTCTCCAAACATCAAGGCTTTTACTTGGCGAAAAGTGCAAAAGAAATGCGAGTGATTGACTTTTCACGTACGAGGAGTGAGATTTATTCTTATCTGCTCTATATATATGTATAATTTCAAAATTTTGCAATAACTCGTAGATGGTTGATCCAAATATACTAATTGAGCCCTTGAGTCACTTTTAATAAGCTGAGAAAAAAACTTGTAGGAGGAGCTTTCACAGTGGCCTACTCCCTTAAGATTAATGCTTTTGTCGGATTTATGTCATTTTCCGCCAATTAAGACGGAAAATACGGATAAATTTTAACCCATAACCCACAGCATCTATTGCTGACATCAAGTAAACGATAAGTGTAAACATAGACACGAACTGCCCATACATGAGCCGTTTCTCATGCTTGTTATATTTGATCGACAAAAAAAAAAAAAAAAGGAAAAAGTAAAAGCATTTTTAGAGACATCAAACATCTCGTCTACGCCCAGTAACCTGTGTTAGCAGATCTTTTGGAGCAAATCGTGTAATTACTCCATTCTACTGACACTATCAATCTACTACTAATAATTTTGTAAAAAGAGCTATTTATCAAAACCATAGCAGCGTTCGAGACTGGATCACTTAACGAAGAGTTTTCAACTAAGAGATTCTTTTAAATTCAATAACACGTCTATGGTCAGGCGGAGCATTGTGACGGGCAAACTTCTATTTTAAAGTTCCGCGCATATGATGAGAATGAAAATAGAAGAAAAATTTTGTTTTATACCGAGCTATCACTCTCGTCTACGCATTTCGATATACGAGGTGCGAAATACTGATGTAAGCAAAAATTATTCAAATGACGACAGTTCGGAGATATTTTTCGCGTACCTCTTCGACTTTGTTCTGAGATTTGAATGTTTGCTGGAAGTGCTTTTGCAGCCAATTTGGTCCGTTTTGTATTGCATGCATGATTTTATTGATTAAAATCTGGGCTTATGCACAAAACAGATGTTTGTGAAAACAATATTTATAAAAACAATAAGAAAAAACAATTGAGTTCAAAGCTTGGCTCGTTTCAAAACAGAATGTTTCCAAGTAAGAAAGACGTTATTATATAAGTGAAATAGAAACACCTCGAACTTCAAGTTCATCTGATTGAAGAAGAATTTATATGACCCAGACTTGGATAAATTCTCGTGATAGACAAAGTCCAGGGAGGCAGCGAGTTTAAGGTTAGGAGCCATTTTCTTGCTGTCTAAAATGCTTTAAGAGGAGTTTTGAAAAACGCAGAGCTAACTCCATCGTCTACTGAAATTTTTACAAGATTTTTGGAAAAGTTTTGGGCTCGCGTTTTCCCATCGCTTTCGCACAATCAACTTCACGTTTAATCCGCATAATGATTTTACATACGTCCCGATAGCTGAGATAGCAAGGCTTACTTGCGAAAAACTTTGATCGACTCTACGCAGTAGTAGAAAGTGGGAAGTTTCTAAGGCGATATTCGACTTTAATTTAATGCTAATTATAAATTTTGGTCTTTTCTTTTTCTGACCAATAACGGTGCAATACAGTATTATTGTAATTCATTTGTTTTACCTTTTTTGTTTAGAAAATTTATGCGTCTTGCTATTGAGCCGCAGTAAAAAGTCACACCCACTAGTTTTGCGATAAGCTATAAAAATCGTAATTTTATTATGTACAGCAATAAGGCAACGAATTTTATGCAAATTTTAATATATAATTTCACTTTTAATTTTTTTTTAAGTATTTTGTCGTTTTTAATTTTTTTTTTTTTTTGTTTTTTATTTTTTATTATTGTATGCGATATCGTTGCAATCGTTATTTTTTATAGTTATTTATTTCGCGTCTATTTATGTTTTTTTTTTGTTAATTGTTACAATTTTCACTTATTTTTTCTTTATGCGGCTGCTGCATACATTTACGCTTTTACGTTTTCCTTTTTAAAATGAAAATCTTAACGCTTCGCTAATCAGCATAATCAACAATCCGTATATAATAAATAAATATATATATATATATATGTGTATGCGCGTATGTATGCGTGTTTGTATATATATGTATGGTTTTTTGCGATATACTGGTCGTTATAATATAAAATGGATTTGTATTAGATTTGTTTTCTGATTTTTTTTAAGATTTTATTCTTTTTTTTTTTATTTTCCGGCGCAAGTGTTAAATGCCTGCACGTACATTAATGCTGCAATTTATAATTGCTCTGAAGCGTATGAATTTTTTTTATTTTTTTCGTTGTTATTATTTATTTTTTTTATTAATTTCTTATATTTTTTTCCTTAATTTATTGGTTGTAATATTGCCAATGGAATCAGCGTGTTTATGTGTGTTATGTTTTTCACGCAATTCGCTAAAGTAAACAGCGTTAGTGATCACCAACCATAAGCACTTATAGTGTTGATGGCTATAAAATCAATAATTTGTTGCAGGCCTCTCTTATGCGCTATCCTCTATCATCTAGCGCCGTTTCCGTAGATCAAGTAAAAATTTAACAACAATATATATATATGTATATATATATGTATATATATTTATATATACAGGAAAAAAATAGATTTTTATTATATTTAATGCAACGCTTCATTTAGCAATAGATCAACACTTGAAAACGTTTACTATAACATTGAGAGACAGTAACTGTTTGGGTAGTTTTGTCAACCGAATAAAATAAAGCAACCAATGCAACAGAAAAAAAAAAAAATAGTAATAAATAAATAAGTGATGAGCGCCGCTAAATTAATCTAAAGAGATTTTTTCCTCTTCGCCGTTCCTTAGTAACTTAGACTGTTCGGCTCTTTGGCTGCGTAAAGCATTATTCAATTAAAAATGTTTTTTTTTTTTGTTTTTTTCCTTTTATTTAACTTTATATTGTAAGCAATGTTAGTCAATGGTTATTAGATTCTTCGCAGTAATTGTAACTCATATAACGCTCTCCATAATTTGTTTACACTCATTTTTCTTCTTTTTACCTAGCGATTCTCTGTTGTGTGGATTGTAAGCTTTTGTGTATTTTCGTTTACTGTTCTTAACGATCTTTACCATAAAAGCTTTATCTATTGCATGCTAAAGTTAAAGCTTTTAATATATATGTATATAAATTTTCTTTATCTTACGCTTATAAGTTTGTTAATTAAGGCATAATTACTCGATTTAAAGAGCTGTGAAATGATTAATTTAATGTTTAAATTTTAATGTTTTCATCAGCCTGTAACTTTGGGCTTTTGTATTCGTTACCCATTGTATTCGTTATTATTTTCCTATAACCTACTTTTTTTCTATAACGTAACCCTGACTTGGTTTTTTCTTCCAGCATCTCATCTACAGCGCTTAACTGCTTACCCAACACGATAGGTCCATTAAGTTTGTGAATTATTCGTAAGCCAAGGAAATATTGCAAAGTGAACTGATAAAGTAGCTTCACTTTTCGCCAACATAACTAATAGAATCCATTCAGTTGTCTTTTCTCCTCTACACATTTGTCGTAATCACAATTACAATATAAAAAGTTTAGTTAGAAAAGCGATGGGTGCATGTATACATATGTATGCATATGTATATGTTTTGTCATCACGTATTCAGTCGACAAAAGGAACCTTTGCAGATCCTATCAAGAATATATCATACATATTTTTGATCGGCGTTAAATTGTGAAACGATCTAAGCGATCGATCTGTCCATCTGTCCAGCGTCATTGTCCATCTATCCGGCTTGACTGTGGAGATAGGTGGTTTTGACACTCCCCTTCTTACAAAACTTAAAATGTCGATTTCGAGTGCATCGGCCCCAAACTCGTCACGGGCCTCCAAGCACTTCTATTTCGCTAAGCAAACATTTGTAGAGTTTTGCTCATTACTCATAAACTATGAAAGATAAAAGTACAAAATTTTTCGAATTTATTTTATCAAAAATTATTCAAAAGTACCAAAATTTATTCAGTTTAGCATTTTTATTATTCTTCACTTATAATGGAAAAGGTATTACAGGGTATACAGATTTTTGATCCCAAAAACAGAACGCCGCATATTATAAAGTCTTTGAAAAAGACGGATACGCAAAGTACGACGCCATCGAAACAACTCTTCCGTGTTTTTTGTTATCCTTAAAACTTTAAACTTTAAACAAAGCTTTAAATCACTCCAAAAATTCAACTACAGTTGCAAACCATTGTCGGCGTCTATGACCTTTAGTCTTCGAATCAATGTGTACGAAACGCATATACCAGTGGAACATATCTCAACCTTCAAAACATCACATGTTTACATAATTTTATTGTCAGATATCGTATTGAATTATATATATGAAAAGAGAAAATTGGATATGATGTATTTGGTGTATGCCGTGTAGGATATCATTTGTGAATTTGCTACCTATCTTCTAATCAAATATTGCACATGTGTATATGCAACAACAATTTTATACATCCATTGAATATATTTAGTTTATTACATTATTACTGAACTTCAATCATTCTGAGCTCACGAGCTAAAAAGAAAAAAAAAAAAAAAACTGACATTCGAGCACACTATGCCTGTCATTTAGTTGACGCATATTATTTTTGATCCGAAACTTTAGATGATTTGGATAAATATTTTTAGGAAATTCATGATAAATGCCTACTGTATGTACGACATGCGCGAACTTGAAACCTTGGTTCAGTAAATTTTGTTTAGCAATTGTAAGCGTATTTCTTTTCGCGTCCAAGTTTGAAGCTCTTCCTGTTGGTGTTAAGTAGACCACTTCATAATCGCAATCTTACAATGGTTAAGAAAGAAACCAAATACAAGTATCAATTTATCTACAAGCATACATACAAACATATATAAATACGCGTCTACATGTGCACTTACGTAGCCGTAATAGATACATACAAATATACTTATATAATATAAAAGTCATATACTATGTCCAAAAAGTAAGAGCAATTTAATTTTCCCTTTTTGAAATCTACTGCGGCCTCTTTTTGCGGATAACTTTACGCACACCATGCATAACTCTCCAAGTAAAGTTGCTTGTGAACAGGCAAAGTGAATTCATGCAGTGCACAGTAACACATATAGTTGAAGAAAACTGTTAACTGTTCGGGTCGTATGCGCAGATCCAACTCTCATCTCAATCACAAAGATGCGATTCATGATCGATTGATAGTTCTTTGCTCAACAAAAACACGTTTTATAAAAATCGGAAAGAATACATTTGCGTCGGACAAAACCAAGCGCTAAAACACTAATGATGTTTACAGTGTGAAATTGGACACAGATGTCTCTCATAGCGCAAGCAGTTAAAAAAAATATATATTTCTGATATTCGATATACTCACACAATTTAACTTGAATATCAGTCTTACCTTCTGGGTGTCGTGTTATGTGTATATAAATATATATATAAATGCATATATATGTGCAGACAAGTGTTCTTGGACAAGTAATGAGCGATTCTAACAACATTTAAATTTTCGATGATGGCTGGTGCATGACAAAAATAAATCCAAGAATTTCTTTAGTGTAATAAAGAGTTGCTTTTATTTTTTGTTTTTTTTTGTTTTTTTTTTGAATATATATAAAATACCGTTTAACAAAATGGAATTGATTTTTTTTTTTTAAATTTTTTAAAAGAATAGTTTTTTGTTTAACTTGAAAATTATTATATACTGTGTAAACTTTATTTATTCCAGTTTCTATATAACATCCATTCGTATGCTAATAACTTCCGCACATACGTGAATATCTTAGATCATTAGATAATGTTGACTTATTTTTACTTTGTTATCAAAGTTGTTGGATGACCTCCTTTGTGCTTCTTCTGTCAATAATGATTTGAAAAGGAAATCATAGGAGGTGTATGTTTACAAGTAATTATTACATAACGACCCGAATGTAGTTTAAAAAAAAATAGTAAATAATTTATCCAAAATATTTTTTTTTTTTTTTTGGGAAAAGCATTTATATAATTAATTGATTTCAGAGATAGAAAATAAGTTTCGTTCAAGTAATTTTTTTTTTTGTTTTTAAAAGGTTGAAACGCTCAATATATTTTAACGTGTTCGCAATTCGATTTCTTGTAAACGTCCCCAGCTTTACGAATTGCCTCTTGGGAATGACTGAGACAAAATTTATTTGCTGCTTATTAGTTCGCCTAATCAAAAGCTTATTTAAAAAACGTTATTTTCCCATAATTTATTTTTTTTGCATTCTAGTCCCGTTCAGTTAAACTTATATATTTCTTCTTTTCAGTTAGCTTCGCACTACTCGCCACGTCCCTGTATTTGATTTATGAGCATCAAGGAATAATTATTAAGAGAAAATTAATCCATCACATTGTGGTGTCCGCCATATGTGATTTGGAATTCTGCATGACTAGCTGGGTAGATAAGAATCGTGACTACCAAATCAGTGTTAGCGGATTCAAGTCCCAGGAAAAGAAATATAATATTAGGTGGGAGCGGCTGATTTTTTCTATTTTCAGAATAAAAATGGAAATTTATATGGGTAATGTGTTGTACTTTATCAGTAGCCAGGAGAAAGCACGGAAAGCAAAAGTGTTTACAATTTTTGCTGCATAGACGTATGGCGTGGAGTAGGCATGTTCTTTGACCGCTTTAGGTAATTTTTACCTTGTTTTGCAAATGTAGACGCGATGTCTTAATTTTTTCGAACCGGAGGGAGGTTACCGGATGTACTATGTAGTTGGACAGATTGACAAACGAATATACGAACATACTTAGGAGCGTTGCGAATGTATAAGTGGCCAAGATTTTATATACTTCCTGAAGCATGCTTGGCGTTGTCAATTTTTCCCATATGTAGACAGGTACTACAGCATCGTCTACCATATACAAAATCTGTCTAAATTTATGTGCCGTAGTTTGTGAGCAATAAGCAAAAAACCAATTGGTCATTCCTTTTGATAAGCAGAGGTAGGCTAAGTTTTCGCGGCGTGTCCTTCGCCCGATTGGACTCATTTTCAATAGCAATCCGCGTGCAAAAACCTCACGTATTTCTTCCAAATTTAAACGCGATAACTTCAATTTTGCGGCCAGCAGAACGCTTCGTACAAGTAGTACGCAGACGGGAAGCCGGATATGTTTAAATCACTTCAAAATTTGATACCGATCAGGAATATGTGTACTTTGTGGGGTTTCATAGCTTTCCTTCTGAACGTTACACACGTTTTGACATATTTAATATACCCCTTATTATTCGGTGATGGGTATAAACAAATATATATATATATATTTGATTTAGAATTAACGCACTTACGTTGTCGGATTCTATGCTCTAAATGCTTATATATATTCTACCGATATTATTAAGGGATTATTAAGAAAAATATAATCCGCCACTTGGAAGCTCTTTTACGCGGCTACTTAACTATTTTGAGTGGTGCATGCATGCACACAAATTTAACATACTCTTACGTCACAAGAAACGAACGATAGAAAATCTATAATTCATAGCAAATGTGTGTAATTATATGCAAAAAGCGGAGAGCAAAATTTTAATATAACATAACATATTAAACACGTAACATATGAAGGCACGTGAATGAAGTTAAATGCTCAAGAGCCAGACATAATTGCAATACGTAAGGATGAGGATGATGACAAATGCAAAACTTTCAAAATTTTATTGACTGCGATCGAATGGACCGATTCGACAAATTTTAAAAGTTATACATATATTGCGTGTTCTTGAGCACTGATTACGTTATGAACATATTTTATTGGTTTGATACGACAAGATCCGAAGGATTGAGTACAAATTCTTAGCAAACGATTGCTGGATAGCAATCCATTTTGAACTCGATAAACTCTATTCGTGATGCATACCAATCGTGAATCGCTGAATGTAGTCTCAATAACAACTATTAGTGTAAAGATTTGATTGCCATTTAATTTTTATATTTCCCATTGAAACGCCTGAGGGAAAAAGAAAAAATTGAAACGTTTGACTTATGACTTACCGAAAAACATAGTATGAAAACAGTGTTTCTCAATCCGAATTTTATGGTAAACGATCGCAATCACAGGACATTAATAATTCGTTTTCGAATATACCAAACACAGGGAGTAGTTCGTAAATGAAAAATGTCGCCTTTTGCAATAAATGCATAGAAGAATATGTGAGGCGTCCCTAAGTAAAATAATTGATTGCAACTGTGACTGGTATCAGCTGTTGAAGAGAACAAAATGAATTACAAAGATTGAACCATTTCATGTTTTGAAGGGAAGCCTTGAAGTGTTCATACGATCAAGAGATAACGAAAAACATGCTCGAGATCGATATTATTGCAGGTGTCATTCGATAGATATCGATCTAATTACGACTTCAATCGAGGCCGATCGGTATTTGATGATCAGCTGCTGACGAGCAGCTTTGTTTTTATATTTTTCATTTAGGAAACTCTGATCTGTGCAATAAAAAATATTTAATCGATAAAAATTCGCAAATGTCGAAACAGTTTACTAACAATTAATTTATAACACAAAAGATCTAAATTAACATAATTAAAAAATTTAAATAATTTTATTATGTTCATATATTAAGGGGCTCAGCCAATCTAACAAATCTTAACACATTTTAGTTTTAAAGATACAGTTCACCAAAGAAAACGCAGCTTATATAACAAAATATATTTGAATATGAGAAAAGTTCATCATAAGGAATCAGGTTCAGTAGTGCGCGTAATTTTGGATTTCTTATTACTGGCAAGCACTTACTTTGTAGCTTTAGTGATCTTACCGAATATACTTAAAACGAACACGCGTGGTTTCTTTTGCGGCGATAAATCGCTTATGTATCCTTACAAATTGAATACATTATTAAAACCGATACATATTGGAATATTCGTACTGGCCGTACCGGCAACAGTGGTATTGTGTAGTAAGCTGATGAGTGTCATCAATATCATGAAAGACACATCTTCATCGTCCAGTAACTTTCAAACACGCTACATAATAGCCGGTATACAAATTCCTACCATAATCAGTGATTGTTTCGCCATATTGGGTGCCTATCTGTTTGGCTTGGCTTTAGTTGTTATTATTACGATCTCAACGCAGAGATTTACAGGACGTTTGGCACCCTATTTTTTTGAAGTATGCCAACCGATAATAACAATCAACTCGACCGCCTGTGCGCATGTTAGCCACTTTAAGCATTATATAGCTGAGTATACGTGCTCTTCATTCACCTCCGGCGTAAAACTTTTAAGTGAAATGCGTCATTCATTTCCCAGTTCGTATGCCTCAACGACCACATATGCTATGGCATTCATTATTATGTATCTTCGGACTAGCATCACAGCAAAACATGCACTATGGGCTCAATATTGTCGTCTTCTCTTACAGTGCGGTTGCGTGATGCTGGCTATTTTAGTTGCTGTGGAACGTTTAACATCATACCGTCATCATTGGTCGGATGTTGTATTTGGCGGCGTGATAGGTGCCACTGTCGCCTGTATTGTGATTCATATGCTCTTAAGCAACTTATTTGAAACAGTTCCCATTAAGACTCGTTCTAATAGGACACAAGCTAATGAATCATTAATCTTACAACGTAAAAAAGTAGATAACAATTTCTCGTTCGGTTATTATAATTTGGGATATTGTTATAATTTAGGTTACTATCGGCCGAGATTTTGTTTTTAAAAAACCACATTTTTGTTACTAAAGGATATACAAAAGTCAATAAATATGTTGAAACACATTAAAAATCAATTATTTATTAAAGCTGCAAGGCATGCGGTCAACAATATATTTATCACATAAGTAAACTCTTTTAATGACGCAAGCTAAAGAATGCTTTTTCCTCCACCTCTACGCCTATATTTTCTGCAATACTATTATACTTTGTCGCGAACAATAACATCAACTGTTAGTTTTAAATGATGTCCAGTGATCGTGACCGACTATTTAAGAGATAAGTGATAAGTGTATTTAGCAAGAAGAGGCCAACCTTCCGGATCTCTATGTCATTCCATCAGATGAAGCTTTTACTCGACCAATGTTTGATGGGCACGCGAAGAGCGCACGATCAATCAGCAGGAATGCAGCAAACGTAAGTCAATGTACGTCAGATAATAAGCAAGAATACAAAGAGTAATATTTTCCAATGATACGAAATAAACAAAAACGGTTAAAAATAAAAGGGGGCATCGGCGTTAAAAGTTTTCGTGGACCAGCAGCCGTAACCTAATCCACTTTAGTAAGCACTATAGCGAGAGACAACTCTAGAACTTGCAATATAGAAGTGTAGAAGAACAATTGTTGTTGAATCAAGTTCGAGATACTAGCGATAATGCAAAGCAGCAAGCGTGACCGGATCGATTTTAGCAAGTAATACCGCTATTGCTGTTAAAGAGCGCTTTTAAATGCTACCTTTAGCATAAAACAGTAAGTGTATCTAGGTCAGCCTGAAAGCGCATCGCTGCAAGCGTCCTTCAATAAAGAGATCAAGAGATTAGCTTTAATATGGAGCAATGCGAGTAAGTTAAGCGGTTTAAGAAGAAGAGGCTAGTATTAGTACGGAACAGCAAGTGTAAATAAAATTTACTTTAGAAAGCATTACAACAAATACTGTTCATTAAGAAAGAAGCCTCCTCTTTGTCTTTGGCTTTGGCCTTGCTAAAGATTCTTATTCCAATCATGATAATTATAAGCAAACTCTTGAAATTCGCTCATTATATAATCAAATTACATGACGTGATATATTTGGCTTTTGTAAATAACAGAGTTTCGGCGTCGTTTTTGATCGACGAAATGAAGTCGACCTTAGGTGTGTGTTTATTCTGTTTATCAAACAAAATCTATGTTTCTTAAGATGGCCATCAAGGCCAAGCAACAGTAACTTCTACCTAGAGTGCATTAACAACTAAAATTCGTTTTTACCGGTTCCAAGTCCTTCAAAACTTACCTGTATTGTCTCATTTTTGCTCCGTGATTGAAAACCTTCAGGCAAATGATTGACCTATACTTTCAGCGTCTTGCGTCTTTTCGCTATTAATTTTGATATACATATGCATAAAGTAAATTATAATACTAAGCATGGTCAACCGATCTGCATACTAGTTTATATACCGCATACCCACACCCTACGACTAAAGAAAAAAAAAAAAAAAAAAACAAGTTTTAGCGTTAAAGTAAAAAAACACAACGGCATTGGTTTAAACTTATAATATTTTATATACATGCATACATACATATATAAAAGTATTTTGTCTTTTGCTTAAGAATTTAACTAATTTAAATAAATTAAAATTAAAACGAAAAAAAAAAAAGAAAAATTTTGCAGCAAATCATTGACAAGAAATAAAAAACCAAAATAATGAGGAAGGTGGATGGATATACGTGGTAGATACAAATTGCATTCGTCGCGACAACAAATAGTTAAATAACATGTCTCAAGAAAAACAGAAAAAACAAACAAACACGCATGTACACGCAATTTCATGCTTTATGTGCCAATGAATAGCGACGACAGTATGAAATGCGCCTGCATTTAGCCGCCGTACTGCAATGAACTATGTTGAACGAACGTGACTGACGACTTTCACAATCATGGCACATAACCGTAATTGTGGTAAGTTTGTGCTGCGGCATATTGAGCCTGTTGTTGAGCTGCCGCCGCTGCAGCGGCGGCTGCTGCAGCAGCGGCTGCATGAGGATGCGGTATATAGGGCAAAGTACCGAACGTGTACGCTGGCAATACACCGGGTGGACTGTTTGCCGATTTTGCAGACGATGAAGGCGAGCTTGATGGCTTGATGGGTGGCTTTGGTGCCAGACTCGAATTCGAACGCGTTGGTTTTCGTGCGAATAATTGTGAAATGTAAAGAGCAACTGCAAACGCTATCAAAGTTCCCAAAATTGTGCCGGCCATCACATCAGACCAATGATGCCAATAATCAGAAATACGCGTTAAAGCCACATACCAGGCAAACATAATGAAAATGAATTGTAGTAAGTGTTTAAGTAATTTCGAAGCTCGAGTACTTAGAGCTGCTTGAAGATATATTGCCACATAAACCATAGCATAAAAGAATATACTGGCGTGACCACTTGGAAAAGATTGACCCACTTGGGCTATGCTATTGGTTGACATATTTTTCGCAACGCAATCATAATCTTCGACGTATCGATCGTGATTCCTTGCATCGGAGCAAGTAGATCCATCGGACATTAACGGTTGACATACAGCAAAGAAATGTGGCCTCAGACGGCCCACTGAATACTTAGTTATATGCGTAGTTATGAGAGTTAAAGCCAAGCCAAATAAATAAAAACCTATTTGCGTATAAGATTGCATTAGTCTGCGGCCCAAATGACATCCCTTGTTTGCGCCATTCTTCCGTTTCTCGCCTAGCGATGTCGCTGTTTGCTTAAACAACTCCACGGCCAGCATTACAGAGCTGGGCACTGCCAATACTATACTGATTAAGGCCAGAACACTTATTGTACTCTCTTTATAGGGATAACGTAAAGACTCGTCATCGCAGAAAAATCCCCGCTTATAAGGTTTAAACCATTTGCGCAATGCCACCTCGGATAAACACAATGACGCGAATATCAATAAATCGAAACCCATGCGCGCAACGCTCTTAAAACGCGTCATTTTATTGCGGTATTTCTGTAGAAACTAAACAAAACGATTAAACTAAACGATGCTCGTTCCCCTGCAACAAATTAAGTGGCCTACACCTGCTACCACGCAACGTTTCACTGATTTGCGTTGATAAACGATTAACGGCAAAACTCCGTAACACATGCACAGACCGCGCTTAATGATTGACTAACTTGAAGCATTAATTTGGCCGAATGTTTAAGTTAACTTTTGGCAGCAGCCAGCAAACCATCTAGATAAAACCTGCTCACTCTCTACCTGCCTGTTTGCCTGTCAGTTATTATTATGTTTACAACAGCTCAATAAAAATAAAAACAACGCACGCCTGCTTGCTCTCCGCAGAATATTCAACAAATCAATGTTATTGTTGCTATTGCCTTAAAGCAAAAAAAAAAAAAATTGAAAAAAAACCCAAACGTGAGTAAAACGTTACTTAGTTTACCCCGCGTACGCAGTGGGTAGTCATGGTTTTTATACTGGCATCAGCTGTTTGCGCTACAACAGCTTACTAGATTCGTTGACAAAGTAGCTCTGGGTGAATCTTTGCTTATAGGCGTTTTAATACCGGTTTTTGCTGTAGTTTCGAGCATCGCATACGATTCTCTTCTCAAACTGGTTTTAATATATCTGTCAACTATCTGCTTATGCAGCCTCTTTCTTTTTAGCATAACGTAATAGTCCAGTAAAGAAATATTAGTCTAAGTTCAGTATTAAAATCTGAAACTCAATTATATTTTAACGAAATAGTTATATTTTCCAATTATTAAACGTTATCAATAAATTATATCATTCTCTTAGATCCCTATCGGGCTCGCTTGACATCTCATCAATAGAGCGTAAAAATTGAACCGTTGAACCAGTTGAAAAACCTCTTCATTCAATCTTGCTTACGTTGAAATGCCATGCGAATAACGGTGCAGGCCTTCGTTCTCTTCGGTAATCGTTTAATAATAGCCTTTAGGAATAGGGTTCTTCAATTCTCTAGATCACGACATCTTTTTTTTTTTTTGTTTTCTTGAATTTAAATGTTTTTTATATAATTTTTATAAAAATTTTCTTTTCTTTGGCATTACAAGCATTTTCGTTAATCATATCCTGATCTTCTTCCTACCTTGTTTTTAATGTTATTTAATGTATTTTTCATAGCCCACTTGCCTTAAGGTGCTTAAAAATTAAATATTCGGTTAAAATCGAATTTTTTAATACCTCTCACTGACTTGTGTGGACAACAAGCAAAGTGTCTTTAATTACATTTCTTCATTTGTAGCGATTGTCGTACTATATATTCCGCTTCAATATATATATCCGATATTTGCAATAATTAAAATACGAAATTTAAATTCCAACAAATTCTTATAACGCGCACGACGTTACTAGAAAGATTTTTCTGCGAGCAAAGAACCCTACGCATATACTGCACTTTCTGTATAGAGTCCTGCTCCGTACAGTTGTGTCTCAAGCATCAATGGTGCAAACACTATTATATCCCATAAAATATCGGTTTTCAGATTTTAAAAAATTGCGCTTACCATATAATTTCGCATTTTTGACTGTCCGCATATACTGAGAACGATACATGTGGCGGGGAAAGTGCTATTTCGCACTACTGAACAAAATTTTAAGCGGATGAAATAGAAAATCATCGACCTTTTATCACACATCTAATGAATATATTCAATAATTTTTCAACTAAACCTAAGAATTATGATAAGAAAAAGATGTAGTAGTAGACTTGCTCTCCCAGGCAATGGCTTGACTCTGTAATCATATTTTCTTCAATATTCTATTTATGAAATGTTAAAAACCTTTAACATATCAAACATGTTCTGTACGACTAGTCTGTAAGCAATGGACATTTTTTTTCCTAATTGTAGACGAAATGAATCGATTTGACTGGATTTTATCCTTCATCTAATGACAGGAGGTAAGAAACATACAATACAACAACGGTAACGTTCTTTATTCGAAATAAAGTTACAATTGTATTTGAGATTAAAGTATCTCGGTCGCCTTAGACCGTAAGACAGACAGGCAGACATAAAGTAATCGGTTCTGATATTCGAGCTACGGAAAAATGTCTAGACTTTATACATTGTACATGTTAGAGTAGTTCGACCGGTCTAATAGATCTGCTCTGTTTGGCGTATGTGTACCGTTCCGTTCCATTTCATTTCCTTCCGTGTATAATACATCGCTAAAGTTTTGGAATTTTACAAATCCGTAAGTCTTCAAATTAAATTATGCGGATACCTACGAGAACGTCAGCTATCGAAGATAAAAAGCTTTTCAAAGTTTGGTGTAAATGAGTAGAATAATTTTAAATTGTTTGAAACTTGGCGATGAAATTAGTCATAATATAGGAGAATAATACAAATTTGAATACATTAATTTTCATTAGTAGCCTTCGCAACGAAGCAGTTATCGATTCAGAAAGTGATGGGACCAAATATGTAAGCTAAGAATTTCGCGATCATTGTTGCGAAAATGAACAAGGTAATCTAAAATAGGTTTGATCAATCCGGAATCCTTAAGTATATAAAAAAAAAAAAGGAGAACAAGACAGACAAATACGCCTTCAATGACCTCACGTGTAAACACGACAACGAAGTGACGAGGACGTGATATCCAATTGAAGATTACGGCGAAATCTTGTACAACCGTTTAAGAAACTGCTTTCTAGGTGCAGCGGTTGGAAACCATCGAACCAATCAATCACTTGTTGCACGCGTCGTTTAAGTAGAGGGTGTTCGAAGTTCGTCTCAAGACGAATATAAATATTTTTATGCAGTTTTCTATTACGTATGCGCATAAGTTTGGAGCTATGCGAGGAAAGCGCATCTCATCATCAGCTTAACTCGAATAAGCATGCGAATTCATTGAAGCTTCACATAGAAATCGCTTGTTTACCGGTTTCCCTTACATATGTTTACCTGATTTTCTATGCTTGGCCGTTAACTGAAAACAACAGCAAATAACTCTAACAATTATGCTTGAATGAGTTCGATAGTGTATTTCGTATCAGTTTTATCTATGGCTAATATAAGTGAGAAACTCTCTCTTTCTGTCATTCCCTCCCTATCGCTCTTTACAGCATGCTTCGTTGGATTGTAGACTTTTAAACTGCGGAACACAATAACTTTTGGCATTTTCGCTAAAGATGTTTGTGGATAATATCATTATTTGTATGTGTGTGGAATTTAATTAAATTTTTATTATTATCACGATTGTTGTTGTTATCATTATTGTCTGGGTCTCCCAAATTATAGGCGCGTCAGAGTAACCAAAGAGAAACTTAACCCGATTGCCTAACCGAATCAACGTTGAATGATTCCTTGTTTTAGGGGTCAAAGGTTTTACTAGTGCCCGCAGTTGCATTTTAAGATACGTTTATCCGTCGAAACAGAAAAACGATCGAAGACAACGAAAAAAAAAAAAAAAAAAAAAAAACAGACAAAAAATATAAAAGTTACGTTGCTATACCGCTCGTGTGGTAATTGAGCATATTTGGTGATTTATTTAAAGCCGAAATGATAAATCCTTTTTTCATTGAGATAAATGCATGTGTAGTCGAGTCACTTCCTCATATATTGTAACATAAAATATAAGAAAGCTTATCTCACACCTAGCTAAGGCCGAAGCCATTACTGACGATAACTGCCTGCAGAATTTTGGATTAATTTTCAAATTATTTGAGACATTGATTGACTGCGATTTTTTTTCCTATTTTTACGTTACTTATTGCAATTACGGTAGTAGTTGCAATGATACATTAAAAAAAAATAAGCAGAAAAGTTTACAAAAATATAATTCCAACTTAATCTGTTCAGTTGCGCAATGATAACATTAAGCTTTTAACTCCTTAACATCGACGGTTGGGAGCAAAGCATTCAGAAAGCCGTCCTAAAAATCGTTTATCGTTGAAAGTCTTATATTTTGTTCTCTATAAGAACATGTCCATGGCTTGAATTGTTTACAATTTCGCATGAGTCATATTGAGTTTCCTAAATAACCTTTCGATAAGAGGTGTAGTCGACAGATTTACTTCAAATGAGTTTACGATATATGCGGAACTACGGCAAGGTTCGGTTTCTTTCCCATCTATTTTGCTGATATTAATTAACGAGCTCCTATCCGTGAGAGAAAATCTTGTTCATTCACCTAGAGACAAGAGCACCTTCCGTGATTCGTTCCTCTTCAATACAGAACCGAATTTCAAGACAAACGCTGCACTATAAGTGACCCATCAAAAAGGAACCAGCGCCAAAATATCTGAATGAGATCAGATTAATAGGGTAAACTTTGATGCCATTAAAACTTGCTGCTGTCTCTTTTTGCAATTCTTGACGTTGTGGGCGGTGGACTGCAAAACGACGTTCGTTGAAAAGAATACAAATTCGAGCAGGAAAGCAAGTCGCGGTATTGGCGGACTACAATCTTTACAGCATGTGCCCAGCCAATAACAATTGCCACTCGAGCACACACCCACCAGATTGCGGCCACTCTCTATCGCTTCCTCTCTTTGCTCACTGCTTTTTGATCACCACTGTGCTAAACGTGTAGGGGCCGATCAAAAATACGTTCGTCCAAGATCAGACTATGTAATTCGTAGGTGTCAGTAAATTTCCAAATCTTGGGTTAGAAATCCCCGATTTAGCGCGTGATAAGCCTCGACTACGTTGTGCTTATGTAAAGCTACCTCCAGAGCAAGTGTTCCCCCAACTAAGAGCTTTAAAAAATCTTTTGTTTGCTTCCGTTCGTCTTGAAGTTTCGCCCATACCGCACAATACGGCACCGCGGCTCGTCATTTTGTAAATGCACTGTCCGCCTTTGCAATAATGTATCTGTGTTCGTCCTTCTCACGGTCTATTATATTTCCACTCTCAAGTCGCACGTGCAAATCTTATTTCGTTTTCTCTCTCCACTAAACCTATCATCTTTCCTGACCATCATCACGCCCGGAGAAGCTATTCAACTAAGAAGAAAGAGCAGGCTATACAGATATCGAAAGTTGTGTTCAGCATTCCATTCGACCTGCTTTGGTGGATCTTCTCAAGTGTCCATCCAAATTGTTGCTAAAGATGAAACGGTCCTTCAAGAAACTACAGTTTAAGGACAGATCGTTTAAAGGGAATGTTTACTCCCTCCCCTAGTTTATGACGCTTGTGTCGGGTCACATCTTAACTATA